TCATGCATGACCTTAAGTTTAGCGACATAAAAATACAAATTCAGTAAATAATACGGAACATTTTGGATGTATTTCTCTGGCACTTTCAACGTCATGCTCTTAGACTGGTAGGATTCTGTGAGTGAAGACAGTTAGATTGTGCAGTATAATGAATGATAAACTAGGAATTACTGGTTCTTTGGATTATTAGTGTTCGTCTGCTGCTCAAGAAAATGTGACTTTTTCGGCCAAGAAGTTCTAACCTGACCACACAGCCAAAAAGCCTACTAAAACACTGGTATATTATAAAAAAATTTTAGAAACAAAATGCTCTTTAATCTAGACACTTATTTTGTGGAATATTACTTGATTAAAACCTATGATTAAATAACACTTTATATTCCATTGCTGTTTAAGGCTCTTAGGCAACTTTGCTGTTACGCGCATGCTGCGCTTCCATTAATCTTGTTTTGTAGTTGGGAAATATTTGGATTATTTTAGTGATGACACTGACGCATTAATATGGAATTTTAGCATTATTAAATGTTTACTAGTGCTTGTGATGTTGCTTGCTAATTAATTTTTAAATGCTTTCTTTTTATAAAATTTTAAGCCCAGTCCTTAATAGTTACATTTGGCATAAATAAGTGCAATCGATGTACTATAAGAGCAAAATTTTTCTTTGCTAATTATGTGGTTTTGCTGCTTTATTTATTAATATTTAGACGATATTTATTTCAATAAGTGTTTTCAAAAACAATAGATTGGACAGCATTAATTAGAAGGTTTTTGGAATAGCTTAATTGGGAAATATCTGGAGCATAAAGTTCTTTGACTATTTACCTAAAGTAAGCAAAAGTATAAATACTATTTAAGCAATATTTTCAAGGCAAGAATATAGAAAAAGGTAATTTGTGCATTTAGAAACAATCACTATTTTGCTGTTTTGGTGCTACCGTTGCTGCTCTTGAGGCCTTTCTTGCAATCATTCAAAATATCACTCACCCGTTTAACTCGAACCACGCAAATATTTTGCGTCAAAGTAGCTGTTCAATAGTTTTGACGCAGAGATAAATTTATACCTGAGCGTCTCGTTCTGCTGTCTAAGATTGTGTGGTCGGTATTATTATTGTGGGACAAGGCTCGTATATCTCTTCTTCTCTGGCCCTCATACTCTCAGAACACCCAGGTTGATTGGATTTCTTCATGTTTATCGAGTAAAGTTAGGGGGATAGGGTACAAGTTCGGGGAGGCGTGGATACGGAATCTTTCTCCGGGTTGCAGGACGTTGACTCCTTAGTCACGAGGCTCGTTTTGCATCCCCTTCCTCTCCAAAAGGAACATTAATGGAGTATAAGGGTTACATTACCGTAGCAATAAAATTATTTGGTGACTACTTTAAAAAAATCAAATTGATCTAATTTGAAATGAATGTTGTGTGTTCCGCAGAATATCTAAGTACGTTTATTTATTTATTCTGTCCTTTGTTTTTTAAAGTAAATATTTGAGCTCCTGTGCACTTGCTATGAATATTATTTCTAACTTTTACAATAATAGAGGTAGGATTCCGTAAAGTTTCAGAGTAATGGAGGGAAATAATAACAGCAACAAAGCCTTTAACGCAAACAATGTGCGCTCACTAAAAATAAAACATTTGTGCATTCGTGGTGACCGCCAAGATTGCTAAAGCCCTGAGTTCCAAATACTGGCATTTGGACTAATGGAAAAGGAATAAATTTTTAAGGATTCCCAGGCATCCCTAAAAGATACGTCCCTTGAAGTCAGAGGGGAACCTGTACATCTCCACTTTTGTTTTCATCCAACTTTCATTTATCATGCATTGATTCAATTTTGCATTAAGTCAAATGACTGCCAACTATCCAGGCTAATATACTGATTAGTCAGTGATCTCTTAAAGTGAGATCAGAAAGAGCGAAAAGTAAATTTCAGTCTCCCTTTAACTCATTAAAAATGCAGTCTGGGTTCACCTCACACTCATTAGACAGACTAGAGCTAGAAAGTCACCGTATAAGGTCAGTCCTCGGAACATGTATTTTTTATCAGCGTCTCTTTCACCTTTCGAAATCCGCCTTAATTTGGTAAATAACAAAACCTGATATCTGATACCTATTATAGGTTCTTTAAAAACCTTACGTTTAGCATTTGTTGCATCAATATCTTGCGCAGATATTCAACAGATTAATTTATTTGATTTTTCCGCACCTTGAGTAGTCATGTAGTGGAGGAAAGTACACAACTTACAGTCAGAGCAAGTCTGAGGTTTTCATAGAATAAATAGGCTTGGTACACATTGCTTCCTCCAGTTTTAATGCATCATGCAGTGGAAGCTGGAGATCAAGCTCGTAATGTACAGTTATTTGCTGATATAATCACTGTATTGCTTACAAAGTATCAAGTTTTTTCTCGGAAATAAAAAACCGGGTTAATTTTGCGTTGGAAATGAATAAGTTAGATGATCAACCAGGTATGTGTATTTGGCGTGAAACTCAATGAATTTACCTGTTTTTATGCAGAACAAGTTATGAGGTGCCGGATTATGATCGAGGCATTTTAAGCTGATTGCAAAAATTAGATTTTGGATGCATATACTGCAGCATAGCACATGCCAGATTAAAAAATTTTAAGGTATCTGTAACAAAGTCGGTTGACTTGCAATCATATCAGTAGCAAAAATAGAAATCAGAAAAAAGGTTAGAAGTATTCATAAACTCAGTACACTGTTTCGTCTACAAATTACAGGCCACAACATATTAACACTTCTGATTTGTTAAAAGTAGATTTAATGTTTCGTCAAACATTGCCGAATCGACATTGGTGGAAAGTGATTATACGACCTTTGCAATGCTTTTGTGAAAATGGTTTCCCCTCTTGATTAAGCAACACATCTGCGCAAATAATAGCCAGGTTCGTCTTGAAATTTTAAAAGAAACTTACAAGTTGACTGCATGAGAGATAATAAGTGTACCAATCTTCTTTGCATTTAGTCAGTTTGATTAAATTGTCTGATGCAGCAAACAAGATTTTTATTCAACTTTTAATCGAGGGCTGCAAAAAGAAGGGGGAAAAACTGCAGATTACCATTTTGGATTTCTAGTGTCTTTGTTGAAGTGTAATATTAAACTTTCCATCAATGTACTGGTATGTCTGTCTTTGCAACAATACATCACCCTTTCTCCGGGTGCCTAAGAAAGCTCATTTAAAGAATTTTCTTGGGTCACTTATGAATGTTCTTTGCCACCAAAATGAGGGAAGACGAGACGCCTCGAATTATTAACATAAAGGTAGGTGACTGAGAAATTAAAATCGAATACACAACGAACCTAATACCAATGAGGTACAGATGGCTACTTTTGCTGCTGTTGCACTTCCTCCACCTCAGCCCGCAACTCAGGCTGACCTGCGACCTGCAGGGGCAAATGCATTCCATTCGAATGTGGACAACTAAAGCATGGCTATACCGTGGAGTACGATGTATTCAATGAGCCCTTTTAGTACTTTGAGTGATGAATGGAACCTGGATGATTCTTCTTTTCCGGCCAGTCCATGCAACGATTGTGATCAACACCTTAAAGATCGCCACTTATTTTTGTAGCCAGTGCAATAACCACCGTGTTTTCTGATATGGTCTTTGACATCGAAGTTGACGAAGCCGCCCCTACCACTATCACATCATTCTCTTCCTCGTCCACTGTGAATAAGACCGAGATAATGATGAAAGCCGCTTACTGGATCTTAAGTAACTTCACACTCTCTGGCTGCGATGGCATCTGCGCTCTCATTTTCTCCGTAGTTTATAGACATCTCAATGCTGAAAATGTAAGACACAATACAAACACAATACTGCCATCAGTATCATCGTCTTTGTGAGTAAAATGTACATTAACTCTCGTGGTGGCGGTGGTAGCTGAAGACCAATACACCATTTGTAGCACCCTCACGATTATCATGAAGCGCATGAACACCACCATTGTGATCATCCTGGACGGCACTACGCGTGCCACGATGCACGTCAATGCACTGTGGTGTGAACCAAATTAACTACCTCTAAGAGTATAGGCCCCTCGCGCACACGCATCTACATGTCACTTCTTCATTCAGCATTTAGCGCTGCCCACCCATATTGCCTTACCACTTCTTTCCATGAGCTAAAGTTCACATGTGCTAACTATCCAATTTTACCTGACTACAACACTTACTGTAAACATTTTGACCGAATGGTGGTAATAAAAGGTATTTGTCGATAAATAGTCTCAAAAGATTAAGAGGTAGACTCAATACTCTGTAAAAGTCGAAACTTTGAGGATTACCCAAGGCTGGTTAATCCTAAGCTGCATAGAGCCATATCTTCCGCTAAAAGGAACAGTAAGCAAAATCCATTTAGGTTCTCGATATACTCTGCCTACCTCTCCACCTACCTACCAGTATAATTACAGATATATTTACCTATCTTTTTGTCTTCTTTGCCTTTTTGTCTTAACAACATACGTTGGTGTAATTTTAGCTCATGAACAAAGCAAAGGCAGTTGTAGACATAAACCACTGTCAAGAGGAAGAGCAACTCAATTGAGCGGAGCAACCTAAGAAGAAAAAAGCCAAAGGATAATAAGAAAAAGATGTAAATAGAGAGCACTAATCAGGTTTAGCTTCACCTGATTGGATGGGACTAAATTGGTCTAGGCCAGACTATTTGCACTAAAAGCTGCAGTTCGGTACAGTGCATGATAACTTAGTTAAAACACAACCTATTGACTGGTCGTTCAAAATATACTGGTCCGCATGGAATGTAGCAAGGGAGAAAGTCACTTTTATTCTCATCACTTTACCAAGAATGTCCTAGTCGATCGTGCAAACTAGCGTTTACTTCAGTGTATAGAAGTGTTTAGTGGCGGAAGGATTAATTTCACAGCTGTCGAGCACATTAGAGTTTTTCGAGTTGTCTACCATCAGTATAGTGAGCATAGTGAACGTCGCTGCTGATCTTCTAACCTCAAGCAAAGTATAGCTGTCGAAAGCTTTAGACTCCAGTAGCACCAGAAGCAGCATGAGCGGCAGTTGGCGCGGACAATTTACTGCTATCTAATAGCTTCGCACACCGTATTTCCTCTACAAATCGGTCATGCATTTTATTTATTCATGCATTCATTAATGCAATAGCCCATTCGTTCGTTTTTTCCATTTCCCATTTATTGATATGCCTATCACAGTATCCATCAGTTGAATTTGTTCAATCCGTACTCATAACCTTAAGCAAACTGCAAATACCATTAGATGAATGTAATTGTAATCTTTATAGTCAAAATAACACGTTCTTCACGCGCGTTTTCATATGTGTAAAATTACTATTCGAAGTGTGTCACTATGCCTTGAGTTTAACACGGCTTCAAATTGCTGAAAAATTGTTATTTATTTACTGGGAGTTAGCTAGTTAGTGCATTCACATGCATCGTACCGGAAATGTTGAACTTGATGGCAGCGACCTAGAGGGAAGGAAGAGCAATCGGGTCATTATAATTAAAGGATGAATGAAGGGCAGATACTGTTATTGAAAAGGCATTTACTTTACATAGATGAGCGTAGGGTGGTGGTAGGAGGCAGATGAGACGAAAGATTCGATCATTAAAAGAGATAGAAGAACTGAGAAGAGAGGGCAATGAAGAAGCGGAGCAAAGAGTGGAGCAGTAGATAGCGCAGGAAAAAAGAATACTTGATATACCACAGGCGGCAAGGTTAGTGGTGTAAGTGGCGTTCTAGTTGCCTTCAGAACAATTTCGCCCATCCCCTCACAGTTGCATTTGCAGTTAACATAGAGCGCATCACATTGCGATCCATCATATCACATTACATCACATTGAGGTATCTACCGGTCCTCCGCCAGCGCAGTTGCTCACTTTCTAAACCACCTAAATGTAATGTGTAACAACGTACAAACGTCAAACGATGTACATGCTCGTGCATCACACAATACATTGTACACCACAATGCAATACATTCTGATTGGCGGTGGAGAATCTGCTACATTACCTTTTATCTAAGGGAGAATTCTTTGTTCCACTTCAGCAGTAGTCATATTATGACATTTCATCTTATTCCCTAATTTAGTTTAACACCCTAAATTGCGTGGCAGTGGGAAGTAGACAATTTTTTGACTTACATTCAAAAACATCCCAGAATACACTTACTGTACTTTATCCATTTAATCTCTCATATTTGGGCTTTGAGCAGTCCCCTCACACAGCGCTGTGGTTTACGCATAAAACCTAATGCAGTTGAAATAGCCCAACAGTATAGCGATTCGCCTAGAGATCCAGTAGCAGGATATTCACACAGGTGTGCAATGCTCCGTTTTATGAATATAAGGCAATCAATCAGGATTCCACTTGGAAGACATTCTGCCCAAAATACATCCGCTCATTCTACTTAAGATTCTCTAAAGCAAATTCAAAATGTGGAATGATTCTAATTTTTATTGCAATGGGCTTAAATCGTTGTTATGCACACTCTGAGCACATATATGCAGTTCCTTGGGTGTAAGCCTAAAGGAGGACATTTAGTCACAGTGGACTACTTAAATATTAGAGGTAGATATGATTTTGGTTTGATGCTTACTTCAACACTCGCCTACCCGTGTGCTCCTCAAACGTGAGTCTCTTTCTGTCCTGTTATTCATAGACCGTTATATAAAGACTTGCTCAAAAAGCGCAGCAGATTTTAGTGCAACTTGTCGGTTTTTATCTGCTAAATTTGGTGGGGAAGAGAGAAAACTAGATTCCACCTAAGGCATTCTACTAATAAGTACTTTTGTCAGTGTGCGCATCCGTGTCATTCAACTTCCATCTTCACGAGCGCATTTCGCGGTAAAGTGTCAGTTTTAAAAGAAGAAGGACATTTTATAAGGTCACAAATGATGCAGTGGTTGCTATAAAAGGATTTCAGCGGTTTGTTCCCAAGCCTGTTGGACTTCACCATCTGTCGGTCATGCCCAATATGAGTGTAATTTGAGTGCGATACTAAATTGGAGGCTAGGGTACTTGTGTTTTATGATATTTGCACGCATTATAAATGAGTAATACCAATACACTCGTCAATAATTTTGTCACAGTCTACCGCAGGAACTAATGAGGTGGCAAACCTGATGGCTCAGAGATTTCAAACGTTATCTGGTGTATGCGTTTTTGAGTTCTGATAAAATCGGTTGTGCCATTTCAGACTGTAGACTGCAAATTCCTTACGAGTCTACTTTTGTCTTGTCTCACAAATACAAAGCAGTGCCTTTTGCAAACTGCTTAACTCTATTTATTATTAATCTTAGGATTTTGACACTTAATTTGTCTAGATAAGGTTTAAACCAAACTTTTGCGAACTTATATTTCAATGATTGTATAGGTGTTGGTGAGATGATTGGTTCCAAAGCAAAGGATATCGCAGAACAATACTTCAGCTACTGTCAGGAATTTCACTTAAGTCTCTCCACCATGTGGATGTGTTACATCACTACTAGGCACATGAAAAACAAGCCGGATTTATCTACATTGAATTTATTAACTGGTCAACGCATGAAGGATTTTGTGACCTCATGGTTATTTGTTGCTTAATTTCGTGTGCAGTCACGCTTTTGTTTAACCCATCTTAGCAGATCATGGTAAGGCTTTGCTAAAATGTTTTGTAAGCAAAGCTTATTGAGGAAAGTTTAAAGGTGCTATAATCATGATCTCAAATGTCACACATCTGCGTGACCCCTAAATTACTGCTACGTAATCTATTTACGTCTCATCACAGATGTTGCCACTTTTTCTCACCTAATGGGTTCTGTTTACGGAATCCGCCTCATGTCAGCTTTCAGGTCAACTTCACGTGACGCTGAGTCGCCCCTTATCACACAACTGTTCATTTGAAATTTTTACACTCAATGAGTGTTCCAGATATATTTTCGATATTGTCTACGATCTTCCGAGGGGTATATTTAGTAAAAAAATTTTCTGCCCTTTAAGCGATGCTTTAGCGTATGTGTCCATTGAGTATTCCAAATCACCATCGCATATGTTGGTCACACCCACCGAACCACTAAATTACGGACGGTTATGGGCACTTCCCGTTCGAATGGAAGCAGCAAAGTTGTTTTGTTCATTAAAGACCTAACATGCTCTTTGGTTCACATCTCCACACTTAACAAATGTATGCGATAATTTCCAGGTACGAAGAAGGAATATTTACTGGGACACTAAGAACAGAGACAGGTTTTGAGTTAAATATACGTTAGTAAAACCAAGACATTCATAATCGGTAGTTTGGTAAACCAACTTTCCCCATCGTTATTTATTACCAAATCGTTGAGCGACGTTTCACATTTAAGTCACTACAGGGTGCTACATATAGGGCCTTATTTGTATCTAAATGGGGCTATCGTTTGGCCAATTTATCTGAAGGCTAATTATCTGCGTTATATCACCTTGATACAAAGTTGTGAAAGATAATTACATGGACTTATTGGATCTGATGCCATGCTTATGGAACTAGCTGTATTTTTATGAAAATAAGCAAGGAATTCACCCCTTAAAGTTGTCACTAATTCCCATGATCTCAGGATGTCAGGACACAGTAGCCAATTAAATCACGTGTTACTACCATAGTGATAAAATAGAGCCTTGTAAGGTAAAGGCACAGCTGGCCATTAAGATTCTAATACAATATACAGATTTTTGTGCTAAATGTTTGTCACTGAACTTGAGACGCCCAGTCATCCCATTAGACCTCCAGTGCAATTATTGAGCATACAGACAGTTGATGTTGGGATTTGCAAGCGGTGGATGGTATAGCTGGTCAAAATAAAATTACGTATTTTTGAGTTCAAGAAGAGGTTGGCGTCAGGCATGAAACAGTGCAATAAAAGTTCGCTAATTGAGTTTGTAGTAGTGATTTTCCAGGCATTCCCTGACATCACATCGTCTGCAAAACGAACTGCATTGGAAATGGCTCATTTGTTGAAGAAGCATTTAGGACTTGACGATGTTTTAAAGAGATCATTTGTCGATTTCGTCAACTTTAGTCAATGGGCTTGTCCGTAATCAAAAGCTTTTTAAGTAGGTGTTTCGATTCAGCCAAGTAAGATGTCTTTTGTTTTATGAATCCTAAACTGAATCTTAGCTTGATGAGCTAAGCTTTTTAATCACCTTGCTGGTATAAGTTTCAGCAGATGCAACAATGTAAGAATAATCTCCTGATTCTTGTGTGCCAAAAGGCTTTGACCCACCAACGATAAAAGGGAGCCTTTTTGGACTACTTCAATTTACCTTCACTCTTCTGGATAAAATGCATTGCATTACACTTAATGCTTCTTTCAGCACCAACATGAGCGTCTTCTTTGCTCATCGAAAGTCAACCTCTCCATGCACACATAGGGAAGCGTCAATGAGTTGTGTCGACTATTCGGCCAGTGGTGGAAGTGTCCCGTAACAAATTGTGAATCACCATGGAAGCATGTGGAAGAGAAGAAATTCAGGCAAATTGTCACACCAATCTTCAACGTTTTTAAGCATCCATCACTGATTTAGGACTTGTCATTAACTTTGAACACTAATTGTTCTATTGCCATCGTAAAACGTCCTCATTTACTCATCAATGTCGTGGAACTGAGAAAGGGGCACAAAGTCTTCCTCAGAACATGAATGCATCCGATCTTATTGACAGGGATTATTCACGTTTATTTGGGTGGAATCAGAGTTTCGTCCACTTATTCAACTTTAATTAGATCATTTAATGAAAAAGCGTTGTCCACGGCCTGAACGACGCTCTACACCCAGTCCTCTCTACAGCCAATAGGAAATAATGAGGACAACTGCATTTAGGCACACTCTTGATAGATGCGTACCTTGAATTGGCTCCGTTGTAAGGGTATCATTTCAGTGCTACATAGCCGGATTCCATTCGGACATTAGAAATGAGGTGGAGGAGGTGAAGAGGCAGGAACATGGGAAGAGGTGGAGCGATGTAATTTATTCACTCAAATTCTCACCACTTCGCATAAAAACCTCAGCCAGTGCGCAGCGACTAAAGCGTCTGTGCAGTGAAATGCAGAAATAAAAACATTAACGATTACAAGTGGCAGCGTTTGTCAAGGAATTAGAGTAAAATTCCATAAAAATATCTGCATCGAACCAGTCAGCAGTTGATGCTGATAAAACACACCAATGCTGCATTATCAGCATAGAAATACGCACAAACTTGTATTTGATACCTTGCAACATGTATGTAGCAGCAACCTGTTTTAAAAAAAACAACCATATGACTATTAAAAATTGCAATCTGATCCGCCAAAATTCTAGCCGTACCTAGATCCCAGCTTAGGAATAGCATCTTGGCGTTGATTAAGAAGTGGTGTCGACTGCTCTAGGCTAGATATGTAGATCTTAGTGCCAAATCTTGCTTTTCCAAATACTTTCTTGGCCTTGGTTGAACATTAGAATGAGTGCAGAATGTGACTAGAGACCATGTACAAAGATTAATTTCAGCTATTACTACTTTACAAACACACTATTTCCGCGTGGCGTTGAAAGCTCCTCGTATGCAATTTCGTCCATTTCGTTTGCTTTCTACAAAAAAATACAGTGCACAAGCCATGGCTTATTAAAACGCTTGCGCATACTTCCAACTGAACTGGGTATAGATAATTCACAAAATCAACAAAGATTGCCTTGCTAAGATGTAGCGTCAGTCAAAACAGTAATCCATTACGACGTCTGATTCGTCTCACACATCTTACTCATGCCAAATCTTACAGATTAAAACAAAAGTAGTTTTTAATCTTAGGGTATGAGTGGGAGATTTCAGCTATTGCAAATGGCGTACATGTGCCGATATTCCATAAAAAAGCTATTCAAGCACTTAATTTTTAGGCGATATCTCAAGAGACAGCCCGAAAATTCACTTACCACAACTCCGTGGCATGTTTGTCCATGGAACAAAGCACGAAGCATCATAGGCTTATCCAATCAAATGCGTCATTCGTCCATTGGTCACTTTCGATCAATTGTCTGATGGAGGGGTGAATTGATTTATCCATCTGCCAATGAGCAATCAGAATATAATCAATGGACACACCACTAGATGGTATAAAGACTGAAGTCGTTTAGGTAGTTTCAACAGTTTGCAGTTCTGGATTTCGTTCACCAGACTGCTTGTCATCTTGTTTTCTTACTGAAGTCCATTATTTAATACGATATATCATGTATCCCAACCAAGCTCCTATCTCATCTGCATATCTCAACTCATTTGTTGCGCTAATTCAGGAGAATGAAAAATTTAGTAAGTGTATTTTGTTCATTATACCCGCATCTTGAACTGATACTATAATGTATTCCTGTTTACAGATTAGTGCCTAAGACTTTCTATAAGTATTTGTCTATTAAAGCATCTATTTTTTGACAATATTTAACAAGTTCTTCCGCTTTCCTGCACTTTCATCATTAAAATAAATGACAGCAAACACCAGGAAATTTTAGAAAAATTGCTGGCATGAAGGCTGCATTTGGGGATTCACAAATTTTGTCAATGTGGTTGGCACTACTGTGTAGCCGTTTTTAAAGGAAAGAATGTCGATGACTTGTTGTTTTAAGTTTTGTTAACATTCACAAGAGACTGAACAGGGGCTAAATGTGTTCCAATTTCCACTTGTCTATACTGACTCAGCGGTGTTTATCATCTGCTGAAGTGACTCTTTTGGACGACAACAACAACTTCTTGTCTATTTAATGGTGTGCTCCTCGATTAGCCAACTAAAGCAACTGTAAGAAGGTTGAGGGCAATATGGGTGCTAAGGGAGTGGACAACTCCTAGTCTGCAACTATTTGAACTGATTAAAAACCTTGGCAATAGCTAATTTGACTATATAAAAGGTTATGATCCACTACAATGAGTTTCTTTTGATATGTTAAAACTGTTTTTTAAATATTTTAACGATCCTCTTGCTTTAAAACAAAGACAGAGCCCTAGCAAATGCACAGAATGCAAGAGGTGTAGATCAGTCAACTCCTTCCAATGGAAATGGTCTAGCAACCGTAAGTACCCAAAATTACTACAATGCAGTATTGACAGTATGCTTGACTTGTGGTTGTTGACAGCAACGATTGTGTTGAATAGATACCCGACGGTTTGCTGCCATATGCGGCAGCCAGTGCACTTTCTGGAAGGAACTTGGAGGGAGCCGGATTGGCGCACCTATCTCATGGTCATGTGCCACCACCTTTTTCGAGTTCCGGTCCTGCCGTGGTCTCCCCTGGTGGTCCTAACATGCCACAATTCGCTGCCTATTACCAGCAAATTATAAACCCTGCGATGCCGACACATGTCATTATGAACCCTATTGTTGTCACTACCAGTGGAGCAAATAATATCCACAGTCTTAATATACCCCCGATTTACTCCGTAAGCGCATCCTCTAGCGAAATCGACTTATTAGCTTGGGCTGCTAATGTCACTAATGTATTATTAATGAGAGTATGGGCCACTATTGAGTCATTGATGGCTCAAGTGATGTGAGAACCACATATGGAGAGGGATGGGGACGAAAATATGAACATGTCTGTTTTACCACTTTAGAGCCCTACAATGATTGCTCAAGTGCAGACATTGCATCAGCATCCGTTCACCATCAACGCGACCCCGGCAATTGGTGCCTTTTGCGAGGTTTTAAAAAATCAGCCCTTACATGGGGTTATGCAAAACTCAATACCAGCCATTCTTTCTAGCGGTGCAGGTAGGTAGTAGTTTAGTGTTCGTGCCATTAAATTTTTTCCTGTTCTGGTCATCCGCTGACGTGCTCTGCCTTTAGTCGCTCAGGCATCTGCGCTCAGCTATCCGCAATACGGCTTAGGTGAGTTTACACCTTTACTTCTCTTTTCACAAGCCCCTTTTCAAGTAAGTTCCTGATAAATTAGGTCCTTTTTGCCTTCAGCTGCAGCGGGTATTCAAAACCCTGGTCAAATGTTGGCAAGAAACATGCCTAATCTACGTGATGCCTCAGCGAAAATGATAATCGGTCCAGAAGGCTCTAATCTATTCATATTTCATCTACCTCCAGAGTTTGTTGCTATTGACCTTGTGAGACTTTTCTCCCCCTTCGGAAGGGTCATAAGTGCAAAGATATATGTTGACTATGCTACAAATAAGAGCAAATGCTTTGGTATGTCCTGGTGTTGTTGACTTTCTGTCCTACCACTAACGACTTATTAAAATGGGCATTTTTTCTTAGGGTTTGTTAGCTACGACAATCCAATGAGTGCCCAACGAGCAATTGCTGTAATGGATGGCTACGCTGTGGGAAGGAAGCGACTGAGGGTGGAGTTGAAACGACCAAAAGGTGAAAAGGATTTTTAGCCAATCCTGTTAGAGTTGTTTAAGTTATTTGTTGTGATTATGCTTGCTGTGAATGTTAATTATTTAAGTAACTTTCCTTTTTCTTTTATTTAGCTGCAAATCAACAGTGATGCCAAAGTCACCCCATTCTTTCAAGCTTATTTTGCAGCTAAAAGTGTAGTTTCTATAATCTAGTAATAAAAATGATTTTACAATCATATGAGTTAGTGAACTGTTGCATCTAAAGGTTGTGTATTTGCGTGTTTGTGTGTGCCAATTCTTGCCCCCCTTTTACAATTTTGCTTGCCCTATCCTGCATGGCTGTTTTGTTACCAATATGTGTTGCGTAACACTACTGCCTGTCCCTTATAACTTGGCTGCTTTTTGTCTTAGCCTATTCCCGCCACTGTTGAATGATGTTTGATTGCTATATGAAATGCTACTTGGAGTTTGCCTATGCAGCATAATGTAATCAACTTTTAATAGACTTAACCTAAGCACACAGATCCTTGTAACTCGTATCTGCCAGAAATGGCGTCGCCATTAAGAAAATAAATCTCTTTATACTACCTTTGCCGATGTCCCACTTGTGAGTTTATGAGGGTTTAGACAGAGCGGGAGGAGGAGGAGCGACAGGCATGACATTAATTAGCATTTACAGAAGCTTCGTTATTTTCATGTGAAGGTTTCATTGGAGAGGTGTAAACCAATCCCGATAAAATAAGTCTAAATTGCAGCCAAGAAAAATGTATTAAAACAGCTACTCACTGACCTACATAGTTATAACTCGCTTCATTCCAAGCATAAATTTGTCTTAGCTAAACAGCTCAAGCTTAGGACACGTCTTTTGGATTTTTGAGGTAACCAGAGAATTCTAACGAATGTGAATATTGTCTACGTTTGTGCCTTTTGGAGCTGCCATTCAAACCCAGAGTTAATAGGGTATACCACAAGAAGGAAGCAAAACATCAGTAGACCTCTATACTTGGGTAGGAACAAAACAAATTTTCATTGGCCACGACACCAAAAAATATGGACTCGCGGGCAGGGAGATGACCTGTTTTTCTGTGACTCAAGGTACGGTGCGCAGACTCATCGGTTTGTCCAACAGGATGCGCTATTCTTCCATTTGTCACTTACAACCCGATGCTGGATCGGGGGTAACGGGATCATTTATCTACCAGCCAATAAGAATCACAGTGCACACTGCGGCCGCAACAGAGGAAGACGCGAATATTTACTCAATCCAGGTTGGTACTCGGTCCAGTGCCTGTTTTGGTAGTTGTGAGTCCTATCATGATAAGGCACAAATTCGCCTTATAGCATTTAACCAGCTAATAATTAATATTTAATACAGGATGGACGATCAGACTATTCATGTTTTGACTTAGGTAGTACGGTACATTCAAATGCTTCTGATGACACATTGGTCACACCACCTGAAGAAGAGTAAAGGGAGTCAGGTAAATGGAGCAAATTCCTCAAAGTAATGTCTAATTCACAAGTTTTGCGGAGCACATTAATCCACAGATTCCTCACTCGGTTATGGGAGCTGATGCTGTTCCAATTCCACTAATTATGACACATCAGCCTTTTGAAAGGCCTAGTATATGAAAATTTTAGCCAGCGTCAATAAAGTTAATGCTTCTTTAAGTCTTCACAGCTGTGTAACTTTAAAGATTTTCATGTGCAGTTGACTAAAAGATATAAGGGGGCGTCAGTTGGTGTTATATAATACAGTGCTTCATAGCATTTATGTTGAGGACAGCAGATAACCATGAATCTGTCGCAAAGAAAGGAACTTGCCCACTACTTTGTACCTCATATTGATTATAAAGCAGTAAACCTACTTAAAGGAAGTAAATATAGTCTCACTTCCACGTATTAGGTAATGATTTACCTATTTCTGAAGGACAGCTGGGAGCAAATGAATAGTAGCAATGATCACAGGGGAAAGTGCTATCGTCTCTTTAAATTGCATACTATACCGAGTTATCTCTCTACGTCCTCGATACGGTCCAGGTTACGCTCTTTGTCTGAAATTTAAGGACTGTGTGGGACTGATTATTATTATGATCCGTGGCACCATACTCGTTGATAAAATAACTAATGAAGACACCAACGTATTATCCCAAGCACTTTATGGCTCTTGAGGTATGACTGAGATCACCTGGTTCCGAATCACATCATAAGTGGAAAACCATTTTGTGCCTCCAGAATAAGGGCATATTAGTGATGACGCAAGCTGAACCTAAGGAGATTCAAGATGCCTGTTAACTTTTCACTGATAGTTCTTCTCGAAGCCTTGCAAACAAACATCAATCCATTGCTAGCGGTGCCATCCCTCCATCACTTTGGCGGATCAAAATTGACAGTGTATGCAACATCAACAACCATATGATCGCAAGAATATGTATCTTTTAGAATGCCGTAAAAAAATAGGCCATTACGAATGAGCCCACTGCTTCGAACAGCCACCTCAATCTCTCCGTGTCTTCCGCCTATCCAGCCACACTGCACTTAGCCAATCCCATAGTATGGCGAACACGACACCGAGCAACGTTTGATCAACATTCGATATTCAGATCCTATTTAACCTCAGCACTTTGAAGACCTTGGAGTTTATTTCCCTTCTTATAGTGCTGCCCATTCTACTTAGTTGTGCAGGTACATAATCATTTGTTTTAAATCAGGGCTTCGCTTTATCTTGTTTTAGCTGCTGATTGGACCTTAGCCACTATTTCACAATATGCATTGGGATCATAGCTTTAGTATCTATTCGTTTATTTTTTAATAAGACCTGATTAATCCCTTTCATTTTCCTTACCATGTTGGGTGATAAAAAAAATGCCACTCTAGCGGTAAGGTTCATTACAACACGAGAGCCAATCAGAATTGGTCCTAAACGGATGCATACTGTTTATATATCCCCCTCAAAAAAAGTACGGCTATCAATAGCTAATTAACGCGTTTTTCCTGTTTATGGTTATCCTTAATTAACAAATTTATGGAAATGGCGATAAAAATCAGCCAAATGCTCTAATACGCATGTGAGTTGGAGATAAAGGTACAGATTAAAAGTGTGCGAAAGGTGGTGAGACTGAAATGAGGTACAAAATTTTTCTCACCACAGGTTAGTCAACCAACACACAGATGCGCATTATTATAGCATATGACAAAAAGCTAAAAATAGTGTTTTATTCTTTTAGCCTAACCTAATCAATCAGTCAATGTGAAACTCGTTTGGTTCGTATCTCCTATAACCATTCTATTTGATAGTGATGCCCAAATGAGGATGAGTCCGATGTTATATTAGCGCCGCCACCAACGTTTATGCGTAGAATTGGCATCAAACCACCAGTAAGGCTCTTTCCGAGTTTTAATCCAAACTTTGAGTCTCCTAGCCATTTACTCTCACCAGCTGCAAGAAAAGGGTATGGTTATGTGAGCATCCGTAAACGCAGAAATGGGCGGGTAGACGGATAATCCTAGGATCCTTAACATGCAACACTTTGCTACTGGCATTCCATGTGAATGATTCCTTTTTAAGTGATAAGTCATTTTCCCTGATTTTAGTTCCGCTTGTACATTGGAAGAGAGACAAACCGGAAGTCTAGCCGCAGGAAAAATGCAGAGGAAAGTTCAATGGAGAGAGTTGGTAAGCTGCGCAGCAGGAGGAGGATGAAAGTGGATACTCCTATCTATCATGGCAAAAAAATACAGATGCTTTGGTAAAGAAGGGGCATTTTCCTCAAAATCTAAGGATAAAGTCTTTTTAACCTTCTGAAGTTAAATTTTAATTTACCAATATTTCAGTTGAAGGAGCAGGAATTAGAGGCACTATGTAAAGTGGCTGATTTGCCCCTAATGGAATAATTGAGCCTTATTCATTTTACCACGTTATTCTACTTGAATGACAAACAAGTAAACACTCAAACTAGGTGAGAGCAGTACTTCATGAAATGTTCTATGCATAAATCTTGTATTGCATTATTATCGGTGTCTTTGTGTAAAAGACTAAAGAATACTCCCATCTAGGTATTACTTTATCATCTTGTTTCGGATATCATTTCTAATAACATATGGAAATCAACACTACACACAATATTTTTTACTTTTTAAAGAACTGCTTAAAAGGGTGGGCAAATACACCATCCTTATACTTCGGTCAGGTACTCAACCTCGACCACCATTCCAACTAGGTGTAATGAAATCCTCTAAAGCACTATAAGTATACTTAAATCCAGTTCCATCCCTTTATGGGAGAGGAACCTTAGATCGTCTGGCTAAGTATCAACTATAAAATTTTTAGAGTAGTTTAACTGTTGCCATCAAACAGACGCTTTTAAGCCGAGAAGAATGAAAAGATGCGTGGCAAAAGTCGAATGCGGCTTCCATGTTTGCCACCTCTCCAATACCAAAGTGCATTTTAGTACGGAGAATCAGATGCAAAATTAAACCTACTTCTTGACTTTATTGCAATTAAGTAGTTAGCTGCATAATTATGAGTAAAGCTGTAGTACCTTGATAGTTTGTCAAAATCTGCATCTAAATGAGAAAGCGCTCGGGCATCGGGAGATTGAAGCACTGCCCGCAGACGGCTTTCGAGCTACGTAAGTAGCCTTATGGAAAGATTTAGGCCACTACAGAGCATCTTCTAAGTAGAAAATAATAAAATCAAATAAAAGTTTTAACGGTTACATCTAATTAGAGTCACTTTCAAATAAATAAGGAGTTATTCACTACAGTACACGGCATTATATCCTCTCTGCAATTACTAACAGCCAATTGGATTGCACAATGCCATATGCTTAATTCCTTTTCTCTCATGGGCCAAATTTGGGATTATTGCTGTAGAAGGAATGACTACTGAAGTTTTGCGTACCTGAATGCAACTTCTAATGTCATTCACGAATTCATCACCTAAAATTTGATAACACGAGACTTAGAAAATAGAGTAAAGATTCACCAAATGGTTGAAAGTCTATATCCTCTCATTTAATGATGCTTTGCTTTGGGTC